ACTGCACTCCAGTCTGGGCGACCGAGTGAGACTCCAACTCAAAAAAAAAAAAACAAAAACTGTTGGCGAAATGAAGTGTGGACAGGGAGGTTTTCATAAAATAAAGAGAAATAGAAAATAAAGAACATGCTAGAAAGCAAAGTTTTTGTTTTTGTTTTTCAGTTGGAATCTCACTCCGTCGCCCAGGCTGAAGTGCAGTGGCACACTCACGGCCACCCCAGCATTGACCTACTGGGCTCCGGTGATCCTTCTGCCTCAGCCTTCCAAGTAGCTGGAACTACAGGTGTGCGCTACCATGCCTGGCTAACTTTTTGATTTTTATTGTAGAGATGAGGTCTCGCCAAGTTGCCCAGGTGGGTCTGGAACCCACGGGCTCAGGCAATCCACTCACCTCAGCCTCCCAAAGGCACGGAATTATAGCCTGAACCACCGAGCCTGGCTAATTTTTTGATTTTTTATTGTAGAGACAAGTTGCCGGGCTGTTCTCCAGCTGGCGGGCTCAGGCAATCCATTCGCCTCGGCATCCCAAAGTGCTGGGATTATAGGCTGAGCCACCGAGCCCAGCCTAAAGCAAGGTTTTAATTTATTCTTTTTATCTGTTTATCTTCCAGCATGATTGAGGTATCATTGACAAATAAAAATCATGTACGTTCAAGGTATACAATGTGAGGATTTGATAACCATGTGTGTGGTATAATGATTGTCCCAATCAAATTAATCAGCATGTCAGTAAAAGTGTAGTCACATGGCTACCCTTTTACTATGTGTGCGGTGAGGGCACTTAAGATCTTCTCCTTTGGCAAATTTCAAGTCAACAATACCATGTTATTGTTAACTGTAGTCACCATGCTGTGTTTGAGATCCCCAGAACCTGTTCACCTTAGAACTGATACCTTGTACCCTTGAGCAACACCTCCCGGTTCTCCTCATCTGACCAGCCCCTGGTAACCACTGTGCTGCTCTCTGCTTCTAAGAGGTCAACTTTTTAAGATTTTACATATGTGAAGTCATGTAGTAATCATCTTTGGTGGCTTATTTCACTTATTGTAATGACCTCCAGGCTCATCTATGTTGTCAAAAATGACAGGATTTCCTTCTTCTCATGGCTGAATCATTTTCCACTGTGTATATGTACACGCACCACAATTTTTTTATCCGTTCATGGATGGACACTTAAGTTGTCTCTGCAAATTGGCTAATGCTGTGAAGTTGGGCCAAAGAGTGAACATTTACGTTTAGGGAAAGAAATGAGTCTCTTAAGTTATTTCTTTGGGCTGGGCGTGGTAACTCAAGCCTGTAATCCTAGTACTTTGGGAGGCTGAGGCAAGAGGAGTGTAAACTAGTACAACGTCTGTGGAAAACAGTTTGGCGATTCCTAAAAGGTCTAAAAATTGACTTTCCATATGACCCCGCAATTCCCCTACTAGGAATATACCTGAAGGAACTCAAATCACTCTATGAAAAAGATACCTGCACACGCATGTTTATTGCAGCATTGTTCACAACAGTAAACAAAACATGGAACCAACTGTCCATCGAAAGAGAACCGGATACAAAAAATGTGGTACATACACATGATAGAATATTATTCAGCCATAGAGAAGGACAAAATTATGAACTTCATGGCAACTTGGATGGACTTAGAGTCTATATAATACTGAGTGATCTATCACAGAAACAAAGAACTGAGTATCACATGTTCTCACTCATAAGTGGACCTTGAACAATTATCGTAATACTATAAGAAAAGGATTGTCAGTAGTGGGAAATTGACGTGGGTGGGGGTGTGATTGGCCGTAGTGGGATTTTGTGGGGCGTTGGGAGGGGCATATCTCATCCACAAGGGTACCTGCATAATGAACATTTGTATACGTAACCCTGAATGACCCCCCAACATCTTAAAAAAAATTATATAAACTCAAAAAAAACCCTATTTTATTAAATTTTTTAGTCTTACCCACAGAGTTGATAGTTCAGTGGGCCATGGGGTGTACTCTAGGAATCTGGAGTTTTGAAGTGACATGCAGGCTTTTTTATAGCCTCTGACTATACTTTAGAAGTGCTGCATTAGGAAAAGAAGATTGCAACGGGAAAAATAATGGGATTATAAAAAGTACTGAGTCCAAAAACAATCAGAGAAAAAGAGGGCCTGGCATGGGGCTCACACTTGTAATCTCATCACTTTGAGATGCCAAGGCAGGAGGACTACTTGAGCCCAGGAGTTTGAGAGTCCCAGATAGCAAGACCCTATCTGTACAAAAAAATTTTAAAAATGTAGCTGGGCATGGTGGGTGCACACCTGTAGTCTACTCAAGAGGCTGAGGCGGAAGGACCACCTGAACCCTGGAGGTCGAGACTGCAGTAGCTGTGATTGTGCCACTACACTCCAGCCTGGGTGACAGAGTATGACCCTGACTCAAAAACAAAACAAAACAAAACAAAAACAAAGTAAATATTTTGAAAATCAACTGATGTGGAAGGCCCACCTGATTGCTTCTGCTCAGCTGCCAAGGCTGTGGCCTGACCACCTTTGCCCAGGGAGTGGAGGGCCATGAGGCCTGTACATGGTGGTGCAGTGACAGTCACAGGCAGCAGTGCTTAGCATGCTCTCCCGCTTTCCTTGTGGGTAGCATCCTTTCTCCCCCTGGGTACCCCTGCCCTTGCTGCTTTTCTTCTCAGCACTTCATACCTGCTTTGCTTTGTTCACCCTCTCCCCGATACCTAGAACAGTGCCTGGCATTGTTGAAGGAAGAAGGTCTTTGAGAATAGACTTATGCCAAGAACTGTGCTAAGCACTTTATGGCCATCAGCTCATTTTATCTCAACAATTTCTGAGGTGGGTGTGATCCCATTTTACAGATGAGGAAACTAAGGCTGAATGAGATGAAGAAAATTACCCAAGGCCATACAGTCTCCCACTTTATTTATTTATTTATTTTTGAGTTGGAGTCTCACTCTGTCGCCCAGACTGGAGTGCAGTGGCCGCTCCCGGCCACCGCAGCCTCGACCCGCTGGGCTCCGGCGATCCTTCCGCCTCAGCCTTCCGAGTAGCCCGAATTACAGGCACGCGCTACCATGCCCGGCTGATTTTTTGATTTATTGTAGAGATGAGGTCTCGCTGCCCAGGCAGGTCTCGAACCTGCAGGCTCAGGCAAACCACTCACCTCAGCCTCCCAAAGGCGCGGGATTACAGGCTGAGCCACCGAGCCTGGCTTATTTTTCATTTTTTTTGAGTGGGAGTCTCACTTTGTCACCCAGGCTGGAGTGCAGTGGCATGCTGCTTGCTTAGTCTTGACCTCCTTCCACCTTGGCCTTCCAAGTAGCTAGAACTACAGGCATGTGCCGTCTCATCTGGCTAATTTATTTATGTATTTGTTGTAGAGACGAGGTCTTGCCATGTTGCCCAGGCTGCTCTCGAATCCCTGGACTCAGGCAATCCTCTCGCCTGGGCCTCCCAAAGTGCTGGGATTATAGGTGTGAGCCACTGTACCTCGCTACTCCCACTTTACTTTTTAAAAAAATTTTATTTTTAGGTTGGGTGTGGTGGCTCAAGCCTGTAATTTCAGCACTTTGGGAGGCTGAGGTGAGAGGATTGCTTGAGCCCAGGGGTTCGAGACTAGTCTGGGCAACTTGGTGAGACCTCATCTCTACAGTGTATCAAAAAATTAGCTGACCATGGTAGCGCATGCCTGTAGTTCTGGCTTCTTGGAAGGATGAGGCAGAGGGATCGCCTGAGCCCAGCAGGTTGATACTGGGGTAGCCATGAGTGTGCCACTGCACTCCAGCCTGGGTGACAGAGTGAGACTCTGACTCAAAAAAATTTTTTTTTTTTTAGAGACAAGATCTCACTATGTTGCGAAGGCTGGTCCTGAACTCCAGCCTCAACCATCCTGCCTCCCAAAGTGCTGGGATTTACAGTTTGAGACATCTCACCTGGCCAACATATACATTCACTTAGCGGCAGAACTGATGTTTGAATCCTGTCTGCCTGTGGCACCCTTCGCTGCTGATTTTTCCTGACATTTTCTTTCTTCTACAGGATCTGGGGACATGGCCAGAAAGGCTCTAAGGCTTGCCTCGTGGACCAGCATGGCACTGGCAGCCTCTGGTATCTACCTCTACAGTAACAAGTACTTGGACCCCAATGACTTTGGTGCCGTCAGGGTGGGCAGAGCAGTTGCTACGGTAGGTTTTCCCCATTTGAGGGTGACCGAAGAAGCACAGTATTACTTGCAAGTGTTCATATACGGAGCAGATGAGACATACACCTGCGGAGAGACACATGTGCCCTCACCTGTGTCCAGTCTCCATCTACACAGGTGCACAGATATGGATGTGTGCCCTCATATACCTTTATTCCTGTGCACACAACCTCTGTCATCCTCAAGTTAAGCAGAATGGGAGCGTGGCATCTCTGTTCCGAAGCCTTTACACTTGAGGTTCTGTGTCACATTTTAGTGACAGACTCAGGGGGGGAACATGCCTCACAAATGCACGTGGAAGGGGGACATGGCAGCTTTTATCAAATTCTACCATAAAGAAAAAACTTGGTCTCTCTCCCATGAGCCAGTGTGAGTGGTTCCTGATGGAGGACTTGTGCTCAGAATGTCTAGGCCTCAGAGAACTTTGGGGATCCCCTCCAGTCCCCACCTGATGGAGAATTGGAGTTGAATATTTGACAGAGGTTTTCTCTAGGGGCTCAAGGGGAACGTCGTCCTGGGGTGACCCTATCCTCTTAACTCTGCTGAGGATGGTGGCTCCCCCCAGACACTCCCATCTAACCCTCCCATTGGTGGGGAGATGGTCACATGCTTCCTTTCCTCTTTCAACTGCCGTGGGATGAGCTCACACTTCTCCTTGATGGAGATTCACTCTGATGCTCTGTCTGTTTTGGTTGTCATCTCACCATTTTCTTAATACCCATTGTTGTCAGGTGTTCTTCTGAGCACGACTCAGAGCGGGAGACCACTCTGCCTGTCGTCAAGGCTAAGCTGAGTCCTGGAGTTGGATAAACGGGCTGTGGAATAGGAAACAGCTCCCAAGTTTACCTAGTGACTTTTTTGGGCCCAGTGTAGTCTTATATGCATTGATGGGTGGAAACAAACAGTCCCACCTAGACGCAGCTTTGCAGGGCTTCTGGGTGAGGGGTGCACCCATGGGTAGGCCGGAGAACAAGCTGAATCCATGTGCTGTGTCAAGATGAGTGACTGTGGAATATGCTGTTGTGCTCTGGTATACACTGCTGTGTCATGAGGCTGAGTGTCCCAGGGGAAGAGAGTTTGAATGGAGCCAGAGAGATATGAACCTTGGGAAGGAGGGAGGAAGGCATTTGCCAGTGCTTTATAAACCAGCCTCTGGGCTGTCCATTCTTTAATGGACGGGGCTTGGTCTTGGTCAACCTTGAACACTGCTCAGGGATGAGGTATTGCTCGTGCTTGGTGTTTGACAAGCATATAAATGGAGTAAAACTTTGGGGAGTGCAGATAACAGAACATACTCTTGTAACTATCAACTTTCTAAGTTCTTGAACTTCTAGGGTCCCCCACTTGCTCAATTTTATAAAGGAAGTCTTGGACTAGATAATCCCCAAGGCCTCTCTGTGCCTGAGATATCTTGGAGCCTGTGATTTTCTGATTCACCAAGAATAAGGGGACTGCTCCAGTTTTGGCCATGGGACCCAGACCATCAAAACTCATGCTAGGAGGCCAAACATAAATATAAAATAATGTTGATTTGAGATACAGAGAAGAGGAAGTTCATCTAACAGTATTCACTCAGCTAGTATTGATTGAGGCTTTACCCATGTGCCTGGCAGTGTAAAAGGTGCTGGGGTACAACAACGTACAGGAAGGACAAGCTTCTAGAACTTAAAGTCTAGCAAGGGAGAGACCATCCATAAACAAGGAACCAGATGAGCAAGATAATTTTGGATGGTGGTTTGTTATGATACATAATTGAGTGTTCTTAGTAGGGGGTGGGGGGCAACTTTATTTTTTATTTTCATTATTTTTTTGAGTTGGAGTATCACTTTGTTTTCCAGGCTGGAGTGCAGTGGCACGATCATGGCCACTGCAGCTTCCTCCTGCTGGGCTCAGGCGCTCCTTCTGCCTCAGCCTTCCAAGTAGCTGGAACTATAGGTGTGAGCCACCACGCCTGGCTAAAATTGTTTTATTTTTATTTTAGAGATGAGGTCTTTCCAAGATGCCCAGACTGGTCTTGAACTCCTGGGATCAGGCAATCCTCTTGTCTTGACCTCCTAAAGTGCTGAGATTACAGATGTGAGCCACCGTGCCTGACTGGGTTGGGGGAGGCAACTTTAGACTGGGCTTCTCTGCAGAGGGAGCCAGCCAGGCTAAGGTCTAGGGACAGAGCATCTTAGGGGTGGGACTGGCCACTTCCCCAGACATAGCAGCCCCTGTCAGGGGCCTGTAGCCACAGGACGTGGGCAGAAGGGGCATCTTGAAGTCCAGGAACTAAACGTTTCCTTCCTGTGATTCACAGACAGCTGTCATCAGTTATGACTACCTCACCTCCCTGAGGAGTGTTCCCTATGGCTCAGAGGAGTACTTGCAGGTGCGATCGAAGGTAAGGGATGGAGGGGACCCGTCTCAGCTGGGCCAGGGCTGGAGAGTCCCGAAGTGGCTGCACAGCCGGCAAGCTTCTTGTGCGCAAAGTGGGGATTGGGGTTGGGGCTGTTGGGGGTTTGGAAGGAGGGAGGTGAAGACTGTCCCTGCTTTCATGCGGAGATGTTTTAGTACTGATGAGCGGGGCTGTCAGAATAGCTTCAAGCTGCATCCCGTGGTACTGAGGTGATTAATCTGTGAGGTGCTGTTTGGAGGCCGGCTTGTGTTTCTGGGAGTCCAGGTATCTGGGATGACTTAGGAGGGAGATAGACTGTCTCTGAGATAACTCAGCTGCCTTCCAAAATGCTTTGTCAGGCAAAACCCTATTGAAAGAGGTTAATTGCTTTCCCATCCTCTGATGGCTTCTCAGGGCCTCTTGTAGGCCTCTAGAGGGTGCTGTCGGCCCCTAAACTCTCCTCACTTGAAACAAGGTACCAATGGTGATACTGCATTTCAAGATCCAAGAACGCCAGCCTCAAACTCATCGAGCGTGAGGGTGTTTTTGTGGATGTGGGTTGAGTTTGAGGTAAAGTGTCGATACCTTTGGCTCCTCCAGAGGGAGGTTGAGGCAGATTGGCCTGTCTGTGCTCTGACTGCCCCTTCTGTCTGGAGCGCCCTTTACCCCTTAGAAAATTCCTAGTCATCCCCTAGACTCAGCTCAAGCACCACCCCTCTGGGATGCTTTTCTTCTCAGTCATCCTGTGTAGATGGAATCATTGATTCTCACATTTTTATTTAGTATTTTTATGATGGCAATTGCAAAAGAGTGGAGAGAGTAGTGTAAGGAACCCTGGTGGACTCCGTAGCCAGCTTCAGAAACCATCAATATTTCCCCAGCTTGTTAGTCATTCTTTCCCTCCTTTACTTATTCATTCCTTCCTTTATTTTATTTTAGTTTTTTTTTTTTTTTTTTTAGTTGGAGTCTCACTTCGTCACTCAGGCTGGAGTGCAGTGGTACGCTCACGGCCACCTCAGCATTGATCTGCTGGGCTCTGGTGATCCTTCCACCGCAGCCTTCCAAGTAGCCAGAACTATAGGTGTGCGCTACCATGCCTGGCTAATTTTTTGATTTATTGTAGAGTTGAGGTCTTGCCAAGTTGCCCAGGTTGTTCTCAAATTCGTGGCCTCAGGCAATCCCCTCACCTCGGCCTCCCAAAGTGCTGGGATTATAGTTATTTTAGTTTTTTTAGAGACAGAGTCTTGCTCTTTGTCTAGGCTGGAGAGGCACAATCAGCTCACTGCTGCCTCAAACTCCTGGGCTCAAGAAATCCTCCCAACTCAACTTTCTGAGTGGCTGGGATCACAGGTGCATGCCATTATTCCCACTAATTTTTTTATTTTTTGAAGAGGCGATGTCTTAGCTGCCTTGGCCTCCCAAAGTGTTGGGATTACAGGTATGAGCCACTGTACCCGACTAAATTTTTAGGGTGTAAAAATGATTTTTTTTGGTTACATGGATGGATGCGTTGAGTAGTGGTGAAGAAGTCTGGGCTGTAAGTTTACCCATAACCCCCACTATTGCACATTGTACCCAATAGGTGATTTTTCATCTTTCCCTCCTTCCCACCCTCTCCCTCTTTTCCTCCTCCCCCTTCTGAGTCTCCATTGTCCATTATAGTATTCTATATCTTGCTAATTTTTATTTTTTGAAGGGATGGGATCTTGCTATGTTGTGAAGGCTGATCTCAAACTTCTGACTTCAAGTGATCCTCCTACCTCAGCCTTCCAAAGTGCTGGGATTACAAGTGTGAGCCGCTGTTTCTGGCCTCATTTAAAAAATTCATTTGCGGTGGCCGGGAGCGGCCACTGCACTCCAGTCTGGGCGACAGAATGAGACTCCAACTCAAAAAAAAAAAAAAAAAAAAAAAATTTCATTTATTTATTATTACTTTCTGCTGAAATATTTAAATACAAATTGTAGGCATCATATTGTTTCCTCTATAAATACTTTAGTATGTTTCTCAAATAGATAAGGACTTTTAAAAAAACACCTAACAAAATTATCAGTTCCTTAATCATCTCTGATAGCTAGTCCATATTTAAATTTCCCTTGTTGCCACTCAAAATTGTCCTTTTTTTTTTTAAGTTGAACTCTCACTCTGTTGCCCAGGCTGGAGTAGAGTGGCACATTCACAGCGCTGCTCCGGGCCACCGCAGCCTCAACCTGCTGGGCTCCGGCGATCCTTCCGCCTCAGCCTTCCAAGTAGCTGAAACTGCAGGCGCGTGCTATCACGCCCGGCTGATTTTTTGATTTATTGTAGAGATGAGGTCTACGCTGCCCAGGCAGGTCTCGAACCCGCGGGCTCAAGCAATCCATTCACCTCAGCCTCCCAAAGGCGTGAGATTACAGGCTGAGCCACTGAACCCGGCCCAAATTTTCTTTTTACAGTTAGTTTGCTCAAATCTGGATCCACATGAAGTACATATATTACATTTAGTTGACATCTCCTACCTCTTTTAAAATCTATAACAATTCCCCTCTCCTGTTTGTTTTTTTTTTTTTTTTTTTTTTGAGTTACTTCCTTATTGAAAAAATCAGATCATTTATCCTGTAGAATTTTCCACATTCAGGGTTTGGTTGGTTGCATCTTCAAAGTGTTATTTAATGGAAAATACGTCCAAGTAGTACATAATTCAAAATATATCATATTTGAAACATATGAAATGACCCTTCTTCTCTTGTTCCAGGTACACAATTTTCTTGCTTGGAGGCAATTACGGTTTCTTATGTATCTCTCCAGAAGTCTTCCTATTTGAATTTTACTCTTTTTTTGGGGGGGGGGGGAGTGCAGCAGCACTGCAGCCTTGACCTTCTGAGCTCAAACCATCCTCCTGCCTCAGTCTCCCTAGTGGCTGGGACTACAGGTGTGTGCCATCAAGCCAGCTACTTTTTTGATTTTTTTGTGTGTGTAGAGATGGAGGTCTCATTATGTTGCCCAGACTGGTCTTGAACTCTTGGGCTCAAGTGATCCTCCCACCTTGGCCTCCCAAAGTGCTAGGATTATAGGTGTGAGCCACTGTGCCTGGCTCTTTTTCTTCTTGCGACAGGTTGTTGGTTACATGTCTTTCTCTCTCTCTCTCTCTCTTTTTTTTTTGAGTTGGCATCTCACTCCATTGCCCAGGTTGGAGTGCAGTAGCATGCTCACGGCCACCCCAGCATTGACCTACTAGGCTCAGGCAATCCTTTTACCTCAGCCTTCTAAGTAGCCAGAACTGCAGGCGTGTGCTACTGTGCCTGGCTGATCTTTTGATTTATTGTAGAAATGATGTCTCATCAAGTTGCCCCCAGGCTGGTCTTGAACCCCTGGACTCAGGCAGTCCTCTCGCCTCGGCCTCCCAAAGTGCTGGGATTATAGGTTTGAGTGCACCCGGCCCTTTCTCTCTTTTTAAACTTTCAGTTTCTTTAGATCAGGGGTTGGGTCTTTGTTTTTTTGGCTCTTCCACCCTAGCGATGATACCTAGGCTTGCATTGATTTAATGTCACTTTCAGTGCCGGGCTGCTCTCCGCTGCCTCTTTGCCTTTGGAGAGACCCCAGAGATAGCTCAGGGTTTATATGGTAACCAGGAGATCTGAGTTTGTGCTTTAGCTTCGGGAAGTTCATTTAGCCTTCTGGAGATGCCATCCTTCTTGTCTGTAAACTAGAGATGGTTATATTACTTACAGAAGATTATGTATCTGTATCTCAGTTAGTGCCTTGTAAAATATAAAGCAGTATTAAAAACAAGTCAGAGCTGGATACGGTGGCTCAGCTTGTAATACCAGCACTTTGGGAGGCTGAAGTGAGAGGATTGCCTGAGCCTGGGGGTTCAAGACCAGCCTGGGCAACTTGGTGGGATCTCGTCTTTACAATAAATCACAAACATTAGCTGGGTGTGGTGGTGTGCATCTGTAGTTCCAGCTACTTGGAAGACTGAGACTGAAGGATCACCTAAGCCCAGCAGGTAAAGGCTGCCGTGGCTGTGAGTGTACTACTGCACTCCAACCTGGGCGATGAGTGAGACTCCAACTCGAAAACAAAAACCAAAAAAACCCCAAAATATACAACAAACAAAAAACCCCAAAAAATAAATCAGATGTCTCCTGGAAGGTATGTTCTTGGTCTGTGCTGTGAATCTCTATGTGCTGGCATTTATACCAGTAACCAGGATATAATAGGTCCTGACTAAAGGTTTATTGAGTGAATGAAAGAGTGAAATGCTAGTTTTTATGGAGGATCTCAAAGCTCTTGGCTGAGACTTAATGCCCTCCTGCTTTTCCCCATCCCACTTTCTATGGACCTTGGAATCCACCAGAGTGACCTTCTACAGAGAACGTTAGACCAGGTTGCAGGCAAGGCCTCTGCCTTGAGGAGTCTGTGGAGCAGGTGGGCAGTAGGTGTCATGAAGACAGTTGCCCATCATGTGTAAGTCATCTGAAAGACAATGGCGCCACAGCTCCTGGGGAAACTGACAGATTTGGGAGATGCAGGAAGGAAAGTTCAGCATGGTGTTTGACAAGAGGACAGCACGTGGTGACCGCAGCAGATAACAGGATGCAGGCTGGTCTCCGGGAGTCATGCCCGGGAAGAGGGAGCCGGCTGGGAGCATGAGTAAATCCCGCAGGGGTGTTTTCTTCTGTGGGAGTGCTTATCCCTTCTCGTCAGCGTAGCTGATAAAGGAGTGAGCAAAGCTAAAACCTAATTATCTCACCTGTCAAGCTAGCATCTCCCGGCCTCAGAGTGTGCCAGAGCCCGGAGACTCACTGCGCAGTGACTTCGCACAGCCAGGCTGGGATCTCAGTGACTCAGCTCTGCATCCCCAGGGTGGGGCGCCAACGTGATATAGTGTCTTCTGGAGGCATAGCGGCCCTTTGCTAGGCAGCCGAGGGGTGGGGAGGGTTTAGGTGCTTGGGGGAGCCAGACTCCTGGTCCCCAGGATACTTTAAAACTGAGAAGTGTATAAGCAGACCTGTTCACAAAGCAG